AAGACAGGTGATGTTTACGTATTTAAATGATGATGATGAATGAACTGCAATAACGTTTACTGTTTGATAAACTTTTTTGTTGTTATTTTTTTATCCAAAATAATTGAGAAGTACACACTTCTTGGGGAAAACAAAATGATACAAACTTACATAAACACAAACATACATAAACAGACACAGTTGTAACATTATAGTCTCTGGTTAAAGTCAACTTGATGGGACCAGTCGGGTCACCATCTACCAGTTCATTTGTTCCTGTGGGCTGGGGATCGCCATCCAGTACTGGAAAAGTGTCTTCTATCCTCCCGTCGCACTATGAGTTCATTAGTGCTCCAACAAAAAACCTGTCCTAGAGTAAGGTCAGAATAAAGTAGCTTTAAACAAAGTAGTTCAAATGTCCATCAGCTCAATCTAAGTGGTTCTACTCCACTGTTCAAGTTTTTCCACATGTTGTGCAACATTTTATTTCGAGGAATTCCAACAAAGTTCAGAAATTAAGTGTATATCACCAACACATAAATAAAACTGAGAATTAGCTTGTTTGTGGCAATATATATGTAAAATATTTAAATCTGTTTTCAAAGATAAGTAGAAATTAGGGCTGGGACTTGATTAAAAATTTTAATCTAATTAATTACAGGCTTTGTAATTAATCAATCTCAATTAATCGCATTTTAATCATTCAGGAAAATGTGCTCTCAAAGTAAAACTTTTAATTAAAATTATGAGACAGAGAATCAAACATTAGACATGGTTATTACTGTAAACTAAAGCTTTTAATAAAAAAATGCATTTTAATTATTCAACTGTCACTGTGTGATATGAAACAAAACCCAAATCAACTAAAATGTATTTAAAAAAAAAAAGAAGGGGATGCTGCAGACCCGCAGATTCACGCCTGCTGCAGAGAATCTGGTGTGATCTCCAGCCTGATCACAACTTTCTCGTTCCTCGCTGCCCCGATACACTTAAGCATCTGCCCCTTAGCTGATGACAGCTTCAACACAACTCGCTGCTTAATGATAGTAATGCATGTGATGTTTAGACAGAGACTCGTCTCAAAAACGTATAATTCCCTGACAGAATTGTTTAGAAAATCATCAGAAAAGTTTCAGAGTGTTTCTGTTTTAACTTAAACTTCTGTTTTCAACTGTAAGACACGTTGTTTGTGATTGTTTACAGAGTAGTGAGAACATGGAGCGTTCTCCCAGCGGAAGCCAGGTGCCTCTCGTTTGTCTGACTACTTTCATAAACTACTGTTAGGGCACAGAATTATTCTGTCTGGTGCTTTCAGCGCTGCACAGATGTTACGTAAATGTTAAAAATACAGCTTACCGCAACTTTTGTAAAGTTTCCAGTGCCACCGGGCAGCCGCAGCAGAGACGATCTCTGAAAAATGTCCGCGACACAGACTCCGTTGTTGTCTGGAAGTTTTTTTTTCCAAGTTAAGAAAAGAGGCGGACGTGTTTCCTAAATCCTGCATCAGTCCAAGCAAGGCAACTTCTTTCTGTTTTTATTCCGTCTTAGTAGCCATTAGCACTGTGCATTGTTGTGTGCGTCAGTGATATTCAGTCTACGAGGAAATCGTGCAATGACAAAGGTTCCTCCGTGCTTGAAATGCAAGCTGCGATTAAATGCGTTAATTTTTTTTAACACGTTATTTTTTTCTAATTAATTAATCGTAATTAACGCGTTAAAGTCCCGGCCCTAGTAGAAATACAAACTCCAATAAAATAATAATATCAAAATTTGGGTAAGAATCACACATTAGCTCTATTGCTCATACATCAGAATGCGAGGTAGGAACACACATGAATTACATTAATCATGTGTCAAAATACAAAGTACAAATACATATTAGTTACTAATCATGCATCAAAATTCGAGTTAGAACAAATAAAGTGCTCAAAAATAAAAAAAAGCCAATAAACAAAATAAACTTTATCACTGCAGCTCTATGAGCTGAATTAGCACCACAGAACCATTAAACGTGCTAATCTGATGAGGAAAAACCACCAGGTAACAGTTGCATAAAAAAAACTCCGATCCACGCTGACAATATGTAGCCTTTAAATTTTGCCCCTTTCTGGTGGTGGCAATTGAGTTAAGTGGCTTCAAACTATCTTTTTAATGTTAAACCGGATCCAAAACGGTTCCACTAGTCCACAGCACTGCTAACTCTAGCATGCTAACTCACCAACTCCACGAGGCAACCGAAGGATTTCCGGGTTCCAACAGGCTCCCAACCGAAGGCCTCTACAGTTTTTAAAAACACTGAGTTACTATTTAGCTTAATACGATTGGCTTATTATAGATCAGAGCAACCAAGGATTGGCTGCTTAGTGCTTCAGCTAAACTCTGTTTTTAAATTCTTTTATTTATTTATTTATTTATTTTATTTTTACAGATCATTTTTATATTAACTCAAGTTTTTAACCCTGGGTTACATGTGGATGGAATATAGTAATCTGTGTTTGTATAGCGCTTTCTTAGGGTTCTGCAACCCCCCCCCCAAAGGCTCATTCATCCATTCACACCCTGGTGGTGATGAGCTACGATGTAGCCACAGCTGCCCTGGGGCGCGCTGACAGAGGCGAGTCTGCTGAACACGGGCGCCACCGATCCCTCCGACCACTATCAGCAGGCCAGGTGGGTTAAGTGTCTTGCCCAAGGACACAACAGCAGCATTCTCTGGTCAGAGTCGGGATCGAACCTGCAACCTCCCGATTACTGGACAACCCGCTCTACCTCCTGAGTCGCTACTGACCCTAAATAGTCATTAATTAATCTGTAACACTCTGAATCATTAATACATGTTTATTATACATTAATTAAGGTTGAGAACGAGATAAAAGTAATGGCTACTTACCAGATAGTGAGCCTGATTGGTTCACCTAGTTATTGTATCTGGAGTTAATAAACATTTCAGACTTCTCGCTTGTGAGCATAAGGAGCTTCTGGAAACATCATTTACAGGAATTTCATGTAATTTATGACTAAATTACAAACATTCGTGATTAATAAGTGCTAAAGGGGAGCCTTACGGTGAAGTGTGAAACACATCAGTATTTATGTATTTATGATGAAACATTATTAACAGGAGGACCGAGCCTTCCTTCAAACCGTAAAAGTCCTATTCAGCATAAAAACAACTACTGTAGCTGGAACCACTTCACAATAAGAGTCAATAAATGAAGCTTAATAAATACCATCATGTTAAGGCTTGCTTTGATAACTGATTATTTATAATGCTGTCACTAATCATAATATTAAGTCCTAATAAATTATTTAATAAAACTTAGTCTGAAATATGTATTACACCAACTCTACATTAAATATATGGGTGAGCAGATAAGTCTTGCTCTGAATGAATGCCTGATAAACATGGAGACCAATGTGATTTTAAATGTCATACACTAAAGGACTTAAGTGAAAGTGTTGCTTTAAAGGACTTAAATTAAAACTGAACCCCGCAAAAATCAATTTCCTACTGACTTTCTTTAAAGGTAAAAATATCCTACCTGTTACTAGGCAGCTGCACTAAAACAAGTGTGTGTGCTTCTGCTGTGTAATGACTCAGTGAGTGTGGGCTGGTGTGGGACGCTTTTGTCAGTGTGAGGTAACTTCTTTTGGGTTAGCGCTTGCTGTAGATCTGTGTGTGTGTGTGTGTGTGTTAGGGCTGCTCAGTTTTAGAAAAATCTAAATCATGATTATTTTGGCCATTTAAAAAATAAATCACTATTCTATACACGGTTACACATGAGAGAAACAAATTTAATAATTTATCTTCTTGAGTTAAAAACACACTGGAAAGACCACAACTCTTCAAAATAAGAGCATTCTCAGATGCCTCAAACAGGCACACGATGTCACGTTGCGAGCAGGAGGGTTGGACCCAAAATGCTGAACCCCAGGACGACAAGAGGCAGGAGTGGAGATAAAAGTAAAATCATTTATTAAGGATGAAAAACTAAATAAACATCCAAAAGGGCAGGAAGCCAAAACCGATGATTAAAATGCTGCAAAGAACAAAACCAAAAGCTCACCCTATGAGCAGAGAACCAGAGACCAGGCGGGGGGGGGGGGGGGGGCAACAACATCAATGGACCGACAACACAGAGAGACACAGACAAGGTTATTTACACAGGAGCTGGTTGATAGGAGACGAGGGGCAGGTGCGTGGGGAATTGGGCACAGGTGAAAACAAACTGAGGAGAAGCAGAAATAAGCAGGAGAAGGTGTCAGCCTGGCAGTCATGACACACGAAGCTGCCACAAGTAATACTTTTTATGTGTGATGCAGCAGTCACACTTTATAGCGTGATGACTGCAAATTAATTATGACTAATAAGATGTGATGATTCCATAGAAATATGAAATATCAATCTGATTGATCTTTGAATGTTTAATCAGAAGATTATAGTTATTTTTACTTGTTCAGGGACCATAAACACACTTCGTATTAATCCAGACAGAGTCAGGTATATAGTTAAAAAGGAATTTTATTCTTTTATAAACTAATGATAATACAGGACAAGATATGAATAATGAGATGTGATGGAGTGGAAATGCGGTGATGGAATGACCCGCACTTGTATAGCGCCTCTCAGAGTAAGGACTCCAAAGCGCTTTACACTACATTGTATCATTCACACATCATTGACAGCATCAATCATATGTAGCCACAGCTGCCCTGGGGCACACTGACAGAGATGAGGCTGCTGAGAACAGGCGCCACCTGTCCCTCCGACCACCACCAGCAGGCAAGTGGGTTAAGTATCTTGCCCAAGGACACAACAGCAGAATTCTCTTTCCGGAGCCGGGATCGAACCTCCAACCTTCCGATTACTGGACAACCTGCTCAACCTCCTGAGCTACTGCTGCCCAGTGATATGTAGGTGGTGTGATGTAAGCTAGATGTTTGTCAGAATCTTTGTTTCTGAAAGATTGTGAAATCTGGGTGTAAAAGAATTTGTTGTCTGCTATAAACTAGAGAGTTGATTAATAAAAAAAAACGGCATCAGATGCAATCTGTTGTGTCTACAAACCCTGGCGGAGACCCCCAGCAGATCCGGACTGCCAGAAGTTGGGTGGACCTCACGGCATCAGGATTTTGTAGATTAGCTCCGATACGAGTTACGACTGTCCAGTCTTGAGAAGTCTCCAGGTCACAACAGTAGCTGGAATGCTTGTTTGTGTCCAAAGTGGTGTGGTTCTTAGGGAGCCGTCTGGCTGTGTCTGCTTGCAGTGTGCAAACAGGTTTTAACTGAATGTATCAAGGATGCTGGTCCTGAATTGGCCGGTTCGGAACTCTGCTACAAACTGAATTACTCGGGAAGTAATTCTTGTTTTATCAAACTACTTTGTTATGATTTCTGGCCATTCTGGCAAATCAGTGTGTGCCATGTCTGGAAGGCTTTACCAAAACATTCCTCAGAAAGCCACGCCTTCCTTCAGATACAAGATTCTTAACACTGTGAATGAGGATGGTTTAAAAGACTTATGTGAGGTGAACCTTAACCTTAATTTGTATCTTATGAAGATGTGTATGAGTGTAGATAATGATTAACTTGGTAAATCAAACACATACTGATTTGTGATATAAATGGATCATTGTAAGAACAATATTCATTTCAAATTCATTGATTTAAGCACAGATTATTCAAACATTTCATTTAAACATCTTGTTCATTCAACCATATGATTATTTAACTTATAAGATGTAAAGCCTTGTAGGATTTGTGTAGATTCGCTTTCATTCAGAGTGAGGAATCCAGCAGTCTGGGCAGAGAGATAAGGCTTTTGCTGGAGACCATGACAGTTTATTTATGTCTGCGTTGAAGAACAACAAGTGAGCAAAAGGTTGATTTGTGCGTCTGGATCCTCCAGCTGGTGTAATCTTGACTTTGCAGCTCTGGCGTGTATCAAAGGTTATGCTGTGTCAATTCGATGGTAAAAATTGACCTATTTTGATTCATTACGGGGATCAACAGTCCTGATCGACCTCCTGAACTTGTTGCTTCACTCAAAAAAACTAGTTTTTTGTTACAAAAATCTGAAGGCAGCGATTTAGTGAAAAATACAAATAAAAAACATTCAGACAGCCCAGAAAAATCCTGCTTTATGGTTTAAAACGAATACTGTTAATACTTTAGATTAGAATCCACATTTTAAGGAGGCCGCAGTTTTCTGGTGTCCATTTAAAAAAAATATTCATCCATTAGTCCAAGAATATTTCATTGTGAGGCATGTTTCTTTGTTTTCATCCGTTTTCTGACTTCTTTTGGTCGAGTAGATCATGGTGTCTATTTCCTGCGGTCAAGAGGCAAAGGCGGGTTACACCCCATTCTACAACACAGGAAAGATGAACACGTTTATTTACAACATATACAAGGTTGAGATCAGCTTGTTAGCTTCCTGTTCAGAATCAGAATCAAGTTTTTATTGCCATATGTGTGCCAAGTCACAACATTAGGAATTTGCTGCGGTATTTTGGTGCAGAAGGTAAGATAGAAAAAAAAATTAATTAAGAGATAAGCAAATATAAGAACTAATAAAACACTCATGATAAAATTATTAATTTAAAAAGTGGCAAGAATTAAAGAAGCAGCTATCTACTCCGTGTAGGTATTAATTTGAGTGTTTGTTGAATGGTTCAAGCACAGCATCGGGTCACGTGACTGGGACCAATCAACTTGAGTGGGCTGCCCTAGGATGTTCATTCAAAAGTCCAACTGCAGAGGGGAAGAAACTGTTTTTGTGGCGAGAGGTTCTGGTCCGAATGGATCTGAGCCTTCTGCAAGATGGGAGCGAGTCGAAGAGACTGTGTCCAGGGTGAGACGAGTCAGCTATTATCCGACCTGCACGCTTCAAAGTCCTAGAGGTGTACAGATCTTGAATGGAGGGGAGTTTGCAGCCAATGACCCTATCTGCAGAGCGCATGACACGCTGCAGCCTCTTCTTGTCCCTGGTGGTAGCTCCAGCATGCCACACGGTGATGGAGGAGGTGAGGATGGACTCGATGATAGCGGTGTAGCACTGCCTCATCGACTGTGGTGATAGGTTGAATTTCTTCAACTGCCTCAGGAAATACATCCTCTGCTGGGCCTTTTTTCTGATGGTGGTGATGGTGGGCTCCCATTTGAGGTCCTGGGTGATGGTGGTGCCCAGGAAGCGACATGAGTCCACCATCGTGATGGGAGTGTCAGACAGGTTTAAGGGGGAAATGGGGTGTTTGTGTTTCCTAAAGTCCACAACAACCTCCGCTGTCTTCTGGGTGTTTAGCACCAGGTTGTTGTGGCTGCACCAGGACACCAGACGTTCAGCCTCCATTCTGTAAGCGGACTCATCCCCATTAGAGATGAGTCCGATGATGGTGGTGTCATCAGCAAACTTAATTAGTTTGACAGACTCATGCTTGGAGGTGCAGCTGTTGGTGTACAGGGAGAAGAGCAGAGGGGAAAGAACACAGCCCTGTGGTGAGCCGGTGCTGATGGTCCGTTGGTCCGAGACATTCTTCCCCAGCCTGACTTGTTGTTTCCTGTCTGTCAGGAAGTCAGTGATCCACCTGCAGATGGGGTCAGGCACGTTCATCTGGGACATTTTGTCTTGGAGGAGGTCTGCAGGGTGTCCGCGGGGTTTTAAAAAGTATTAAAAAGTGATAAATAAAAATAGCCAAATTTAAGGCCATTAAAAGTGTTAAATTTGGTCTCAGAGGTATTATTTTTTCCAAATTAGGTATTATTTTTTCAGACTATCAGATGTCGTATTCTGAACATCGACATAGAAATATATTCCGAATGAAATGTTTTGAACGATTATAAAAACAAAACAAGCCGATTATTTGCTCCTCCCACTTGCGCTGCCCTGAGTTACAAATGAAGCGCTCCTCCCAGTGTTGCCAACTTGGCGACTTTGACGCTATTTCTAGCAGCTTTTCAGACCCCCTTCTTGACTTTTTAAATCTTAAAAGTACCTAGCGAACACCTCAGAAACATCTCTGGTAACCCTTAGCTACTTTCTGGATAACTATCGTCGACATTTCCTGCAGGTTAGCTAAACACTCCACCTGCGCTCCGGACCGTTCTTCAGGACATTAGGAAAGGCAATGATGTAGTGATGTGTCAGTCGCTAAAGAAACAGCTCTCAGAGCCGGCTCCCTGTTGGAGTAACCAGAGTGAGTGACACTCACACCGCACCTGCGGACTCCTGAGCCACTAAAAACGGCTAAATGTGCGCGTGCGGCGTGCTAAACACACGTGCAGCTTGCCCCAGATTGCTGTGAGACCGGGTTGGGGGTGGGGGTGCAGCTGTGGTTGGGACAATTATTACATTAACTGATGGACGACTTGTAAATAAATAGTTTATGAATAAGGTAGAAATAAGTTCCTCACGCTGATAAATAACTAATCTCTCTGAGGACACGGTGCTACTAGTGCACGCTCCTACAGCACCTTGACTTGACTCAATAAATGTTATGCAACATTTAGTGAACAGCAATTTGCATGTATTTGTTATAAATGCCACAGTATAATTCTTGCTGTCAGTATTTGCCAGATATTGGTATTTGGGTCTGTACTGGTTAGACTTAAATGAGTTAAACCAAGGTCTATAGCCCTTGTTTCATAGACTATGAGCTATAAGTATATTGGTCTTTTTATACTGGGAATCAGGAGTTATTTTAGTGATCATCTTGTTTCTTGTTTATTTTTGCCCTGATTGTGCCCTGAGCAGTTTTATGACTGAATAAAAATAAAAAATAAAAATATACATAAATTGAAAAATCGTCTTAAATAATCGAGATCTCAATTTCAGTCACAATAATCGTGATTATTGTTTTTGCCATAATCGAGCAGCCCTACTTTAGCATATCCGGTCACATAATGATGACGTCATATTCAGTGGTCGTTCTGCATCATTTCAGGCCTCGTGGTCAACTGAACCGCTGAACAGAAGTGCCTGGCTAATTTTCTAAGTAAAATAAATATGTGCAATACATTGTCAACATCAGTGAGTCTCTAAGTCTATTCTTTTTGTATGTTATATATGTTAAAATCAATATGTGTAAATAGGTCGCTGATTAACACTTGCAATTTAGTGTTGTGATGGTTTTAAAAAAATTCTGAAGGTAGTTAAAAAAAGTATTAAAAAGTAGTAAATTTTACTTAAGGATTGCTGTATATACCCTGGTCTGGCAGGATTGTGTTGAATGCAGAGCTGAAGTCCACGAACAATATCCTAGCATGTTAGCTTCCCTGTGACCTCACAGGTGGGGGGATGTGTGGTGAACAGGATCTTCTAGGTAGAAAATGGGAACAGAAGAGCTCAGAACAACATGATTAGGAGAAGAGAGGTATGAGGACGGTGGCTGAGTGAAGGGAAGAGGATGCAGAGGGTTTCCTTGTTTGAGGGAGATTGTTAAAGGTGCATTATGTAAGAATATAGTGAAAATGTTATCGTGAGAAAATCCCAAAAGAGTCTGATGTTTCAGTCATGTTGGAAGGAAGGTTCTACTGATGTTTCATATCCAGCTGCTGGGTTGTCAGTCTTTCTGCTGTCAAAACAAAGGAAGGAGGGACATAACTACTGTTTACCATCAGTGGGGGTGGAGGGGCGTGTCACCTGGGAGATAATGCTGTAGCGCCGACTATTGGAACCTGCAAAGAGCTCCAGTTGTTAAAAGTGGTCACAGTAACCAAATTTTACCACAGGATGTGATTTTTCTTTTTTTTTTTACATAATGCACCTTTAATGGAAGATGGGGGAGAGATGCTAAAGGAGGGTTGGAGGGGTGAGCAAAAGATCCATGATCTCAACAAAATCCGTAAAGCAGTTTTGTTCCAGGTACAGTTATCTTAAAGGTGAGATCTGGAGTCAGGTGACCATGGAGGAGGAACCAGGCTCAAGTGTTTATGAGTCAGAGGTCTGAGACCTGGTGCTTTCTCGTCTCTGACCTTGTTGCCCTGAGACCTCTGCACTGAGATCCTCAACAGAATGCAACAGGGAAGACGAGACATTGTGAGGGACATGATGACTTGGCTCAATGTTCATTTAAGGTTCGTACCTTTTAAAAACTGTAAGAACCAGTTAAGAAGCAGCCCTGCCCCAGCATGGGAGTCACTTTGGTGGATACACCTCACTTGCTTCTGACCCAGAGGGTTGCTGGACCAGACTACATCCTGTAGAATCCTTCTATCTAATCAGCAGACACCCGCCGTATGCTTATGTACTAATTATTAGTCACAAATTCCCGATTCTCAACATTGTGCTGCTTCTCCTGTCACGTGGAAGAGTCCTCTCCCTTTTTCAGTGACTTTTTACTGTGTGGCGGGTCAGACATGACAACGGAGGAATAAATGTACCACAGACCCAGAGAGCTGTGTATTTTTACCCAGAATCACGTCACCTCTGCAGTGTGTGTGTGTGTGTGTGTGTGTGGCTTCTGTACTGCAGTCTTGTCCTGCCAACGTTTGAAGCTGGCACTTAGCCAACTGTGACAGTACTTTCTGGGGTGTCAAGTGGAACACACACACACACACACACACACACACACACACACACACACACACACACACACACACACACACACACCCACACACACACACACACACACACACACACACACACACACACACACACACACACACACACACACACACACACACACAAGGGTAATTTAGACAGACCAGTTAACCTGACAGTCATGTTTTTGGACTGTGGGAGGAAGCCGGAAAGGAGAAGATGCTAGATCCTTACAGGAAGACCCCGGACTGGGATGTGAACCCAGGACCTTCGTGCTGCAGGGCAACAACAACCACTGCACCACTGTGCAGCTCTGGTAAACATATTCATGTCCTCTGAGACCAGACAGCTATTTCAGATCAACATCTCAGAGAGCAGCAAACAAATAAACAACTAAAAATAGTTATTCTAGTTTAACACACTCCTGAGATCTGATTGTGTCTTCAGTCTAAAGAGAGCAGCAGGTTCTTCTATGTGAATTGCTGATTTAGACTCATTTGGTTGTTGCTCTGCAAATTCCTGCTGTGCAGGATTAATTTTGTTCTTTTGATGGAAACATTTCATCTCTGTATGACTTCACCTGCATGGATAACACGACCCCGGGACTCAGGCAGCCTGGTGTCTGCTGCTTTTCAAACAAGTTATAGGATGTTTTCATTTACACCTGTTTACATATGACAGTTTGACATTTATTAATGACTTCAACTTGTGTGTGTGTGTGTGTGTGTGTGTGTGTGTGTGTGTGGGAGAGAGAGAGAGAAACTCGGATCCATACTTGTGAGAGCACCATTTGAGCTGCTCTCAACAAGAGTGTCCAGTAGTGAGTGAGGGGGCCTGCCCCCCAGGACCCACATGAGATGGAGGAGATCCAAGCCCCAGCAAACCAGAGGTTCCCCTGGAGTGTGGATACTCCCACGGGAGATCACCGCACGAGCAGTAAAAATGAGAATATGGATCAAAAGTCCATCTGTTAGTAATCTAGCTCAGACTGAGAGACCATGTAAAGGCTCAGGAACCCACTGCAGGTGTTCTGGGTTCATCAGCTGATCAGAGTGAGACACTTTGAGTCTAGATTGTTGAACCTTTTCATAATATTCTGACTGTCTGAGATGTTGACTGTGGGGTTGTTCATCAGCTGTACGCCATAACCATCACAGGCAGAACAGATAAAGGCTGAAATATCTGGACTTGCCTTGAACGAGTCTGTCTCATAGGGAAGTTTCACCTTTTAGGCTACATTACTGACATAAATGAACTTTTGCACCAGATTCCAGGTTCACCAGTTTCACCTTTACATCCAACTGCTTAATGAATCAGTGGGTTGTTGAATACAGTACCTGATAATTCAGATATCTGACACAAATATTATTTAATCCAATGTCCAATCCTGAATGCAACAGTAAAGTCCTAACACTGGCCAGGCTGTTTGAGCTCTTGTGTAGATCATATTGCATCATTTCTGTGGTCCAAACCAAACCACGGCAGATATGTCAGCTCAGTGTGGTTCCAGACCAAACTGAGCCGTTCCGTGCCACGCTGCTTTCAGTGAGCCGCTCCAGTAGCATATGGCGGTAGCATGCTGTCAGGGGAGCTTGTCTCCTAGCCTGACCTCCCCCGCCCCGGGGTAGATGGCATCTTGCTTGGCCCACAAGAGCACCTGTTCCTCTCAAACACTCGCAGGCCACTCCGTTCTGTTACCTTGGCTCTTCCTGTCTGCCTTGTGGCCTTTTTTCCAACTGCACCTACTCACATGCCAAGACTCCTCTATAAGCTGATCGGGTTAACGTGTATTTGGTTTTCCAATCAGGCTGAAATGTTACAGAGAGTCGAAGTAAATAAGCAACAGAGAGGGTGGAAAAGAGACGAAGATAAAAGGGTTTCAGCGTCCACGAGGAAAAGGCATGAGACAGGACTGGAGGGTCTCTGGGAGGGGTCAGGAATGAGGAACAGCTCATGTTAGATGTTCTGGAGCTCAAGTTAGAGAGGACAGACTGAGATGGTTTGGACATGTCCAGAGGAGAGACAATGTCTCTTCAGCTACAACAGATTTACTTTTGTAAACATTTTGTTTACCACAGCTGGAGCATCAAGTATGTTTAGTCTGACCTTCATTAGTCAGCTACAGGAAGTTCAGTATGACGCTTTAGTGCGACACACACACACACACACACACACACACACACACACACACAAACACACACACACACACACACACACACACACACACACACACACACACACACACACACACACACACACACACACACACACAAACACACACACACACACACACACACACACACACACACACACACACACACACACACACAGTTTATCTCTTCTCTACTATAAATATGAATGGACAAGCACTTTTAAAAGTCTGGTACAAAGTGTATCTTCTCTCCAGTTCATGCTTTAATTGGCCTTCCTGCAGCCAGAACCGTTGTGCTGACACGGTACAAATCAATCTGCTCGAACCCGTTTGGAGCCCCTGGTCAGTTCTGTCCGGTTCTAATTACAGAACCCTTAATCAGGCGCAATGGAAGTGTCCTCAGAGATGACAGCAAGTCAAGAAATTCTCCACTAACACTCCTCACTGTGTCGTACATCATGCACCAGTTGTTTCCTCTTGCTATTGGATCACTATGTAATATACTGGATGTTTGATATCAACCTAACAGCCAAACGTCTCCCTCTGCCGTCAGACATCAATGGATGCACGCAGAACGTGGCTGAAATCACGCAAACTATCTTATTTGTAATTAAAGCAGAAAATGTGTTGAAATTCTGTCATAAAACAAACTACAGGACACATTTCATTTCTGCATTAATTAGAAAAACTCCACAGAAACATTTAGTTTGCTGTTGACCATATTCCTGCTATGGTTCTGCCTGTTAACAGCTCCTTCCATCATCAGTTGTGCCACGCACGTCGACACTACTCACCCACCATCCAGACCAGGAGTTTACATTTTTACAATTCATCGCTGCTTTCTGTGACAAACGGGTCTTTATATTTAACTGAAATCCTTTTAAATCTAAGTAATCTTCAGTGATTTTTTTCTAGCATAACAAGACATAACTGCGTTTTAGAGGCTGCTGCTCAAATAAAGGCTTTCTCGTACAAAAGCTATGCTGGTTGGTTTAGTTACTGAGTTTACATGCTAGCCTTCAGCGTAAGAAGACCAGTGTTACGTTGGTTTTATCCTGAAGGCCGGAGTCTGAGAGCCACGATTCACCGCAGCATCGGGGGTACTTTTAAAGGTGCACCATATATGAATCAAGTAAGAGTGACGTCCAGAGGTCAAAGTTGGTTACTTCAGCCCATTTCCTAAACACACAAGCCTCTTTAGCCTACTTTACGTCTCTGTCAGCTCCACGAGACAGAGACACACAGACACGTTCTGCTTTCAGCTGGAGATTGTTGCAAAACAGTTTCCCCCCAGGACAACAGAGGGCGTAGCGCTATTCTGTGGTATCCTGCCACCATTACAGTCACACATCCAGTCCACGATAGCGTGTTTACTATTGTGTTTATATGGTTTAATGTTTTTCAGAGACTTTTGAACACAGACGAATTTGTCCCTCATCCTCCTCCACGTCTTCATGCCACCTCTAAGCCCATGTTTCTCATCTTTTCTATCCACGAATAAAACACTCGCTGCATATCTTTTTGCTCCTTTAGTCACGGGTGAATAAACGTTCATATTTTCTGACTTTTTCCAAGATGCACTCTTCAATCTGTTCCGTTTCTGCTGATAAATATTTTTACTTTTTGACGGGGCAATGGTGAATTTACAGGAAACAGCATCCTGACCAATCACAAGCTTGCAGTCTGTTGTCTCTTTTGACGTTTAGTTAAAAATTGGGGCATGTCTCTGTCGCCTGTGGGTTGATGCATGATGGCGTTGCACACCTCTGCACCGACACAGACGGCGAAGCATGAATTAGGCTTTAGTGCCGTTCTGCTGGTTTCATGGCTGTTGCTGGCTACGAGTGAATGAGGACTCTAGTGGCAACCTGTGAAGCTCTACAGAACTCCAGGTGGTGTGAAGTAACACCCAGTCCCATTTCAAAGGTAGAGTAGGTAAGAGCTTTACAATAAAATAATCACATAACAGTCTGATGTCATGTTGGGAGGTTACAGCACCGGCATTTGTAAATCGACACTGGGCAGTAAAATGTAGCAGTGTTCTGTCAAGAACTAAAGCCTGGAAACAGGAGCGACCCAGAAGTTATTTTTTGTACCCCTAAGAAGTCATGCCATCTTTTTGTTGTACGTGTGGCAAGGTGGAGAAACAAGGGCCCGGCTGAGATTCGATCCCCAGACTCCTGGGTGAGAGTCACGTTTGCTAACCAGTCAGCCAAAGGGACATCCCGTGACCAAGTAGCCAGGGAGCTAGCTCAATATATATATAACTCTAATATCGGGTCAAGCAGGCTACAGGCTAACGTTATGCTAACAGTGATTTACAAGCAAATAGTGACTAAAAATATCTCAAGGTAGTTTTTCCATCCTGTTGTCGGTCTCACAGAACCGCCGCACTTCCCTGGTCCTCCACCATCACACACTCACATATTCAGCACCAGAACACCTCTGGGGTGAGAGGTTCTCTGCCCAATAACATCACAGTGGAGAAACAGCCGGCTGCTACCACTTCAGCTTTAGGACAAACTCCCTGAGTCCCAAAAAGTAAAACACCATCTGAAGTCACGGACAACAAAAGACATTTGGACCTAGAAAACAGTGACTGGTGTTTAACGCCATCTTGTTTCCTGTGGCGATGCGAGTTCATTTATTCATTCATTCATTCCTTGCGGTATTGCCAAAGTGTCCTAGGGATGATAGCCAAAGGGAGGGGTGAGAGGTCGGTGACTGTGTTTGTGTTTAGCCAGGGCAGCTTTAAAAACACACTAAAGGTTTTTTTTGTTTATTTAGTGCGACTACCACACTTCTGACCGCAGCATCATTTAACCTTTCTGCTGTCGGCTTCTGTTTATTGTTTTAGTGACAAACCAACAATAGTGATGCTAAATAAATATACATATACGTGTTGTGCTTGTCCATTTCCCTGAAGGTGTGTGCACTTGTCACCTTTTCCACGTCTTGTGAAGATGCACAGACAGCACATCCACAGCAGCAGAAATCTGGTCCCCTCAGCTTGTTTGGCAGCGTGCTGCAGCATACAGATCAGCTCAGGTTCAAGGACTCCTCCACTGTAAAAAGATCTTAATGAATTCTTGGCACTGCAAATCACTGCTAGCTTCTCTCAGTGTTATTAGGCTGGAGCATGAAGACTTTGTCTTTTCACTCGACCAAGGAGCCAAATCAGTCTTCAACACACACTTTTATGAAGACACGCACTTCACAGACGTTCATCGTCACACACCCACAGTCACACGTGTGTGTGTTTTAATACTGATCCTGCTCCCGTACACATATGCTCCTTTTTCCATGTAGCAGAGCCGACGGCTTGATTTTATGTGATTGAATGGTGCAAACTGTCTCACCCACTCCGTCTTCACCTCCTGCCCTCTCCGAGAAATCTCATGTTCCTCCTCTCACTTTTTCGTGTCTCTTGTCTTCCTCTCAGCCTTCCTTTCATGAGACTTCATGACTCCTTCCTCACTTTTCTCCTTTTCTTTCTGGTGTGGTGTAAAGGGGCGCATCAGCAGCTGCTTGTTTCACAAACGGCTCCCATTCTGTTCAAAGGGACTTTCCTGATTGCTTTATTTAATGGGAATATTTCTTAATGTATGTAAATGGTAAATGGCCTGTATTTGATATAGCGCCTTCTAGAGTCCTGGAACCCCCCAAGGCGCTTTAAAACACAATCAGTCATTCACACATTCCCACACACTGGTGGGGATGAGCTACGATGTAGCCACAGCTGGGGCGCACTGACAGAGACGAGGCTGCCGAGCACTGGCACCACCAGTCCCTCCGACCACCACCAGCAGGCAAGGTGGGTTAAGTATCTTGCCCATGGACACAACAATGGCGACAGACTGAGCGGGGCTCGAACCTGCAACCTTTCGATTCCGGGGCGAACACTTAACTCCTGTGCCACCGTCACCCACCTATGTATGTCAGAATCTCAGTGCAGCCCTGGAATTCAGATAGACTTGAGTCAGCAGTGTTGTAGACCATGAACACACACACACACACACACACACACACACACACACACACACACACACACACACACACACACACACACACACACACACACACACGTGCAGTGCTCCCCGTTCGTCGCTCTCCCTCCGTAGCTGCCCATCAGTAATGCCACCATCACTGGTGTGCAGCACACTCTGTCATGTGTGAAATGGGCTGAAGCTGATCCCTGCCCTGGGTGGGCAGGAACCAAAGTGTTCCAGCTGACGAGAAGAGCGCACGTCTCTGAGGGAAGATAAAAAACCTACGAGGGACAGGAGGTCAGAAAAGTGGGTTAGAAAGACGGGAAGAGCAAAAGGCTTCAGTAACGGCACGAGGCCAGTCGGCAAACATGAACGACCGGAGGTCTGAGGCAGATGAGATGAAAGGAAATTGATGTGGGAACAGGAGAGAGGTGGTTGGAGGATGAGGTTTCAGAACAAATCAGGATTAAGTAGGAGGAATAAAGATGGCAGAAGAAAAAGAAAAATGATATTTTTGGTGAATTGAATCTTATTTTTAAATGTATTTAGCAGAAATGTTTGAAATTCATTGAAGGTGTTTAAATATAAGGACAGGTCAGTTTAAATAGCTTAATCTTTAGACTTTTTATTGGATGTAAGAAGATGTTGGAATATTAAACTTAAAAGATCAAGGCAGAGGGAGACCATTCTACGATAAAGCTGTGATATCTGAGGCCCTTGTCATGATTCATGTCTCACTGTTTAAAAAGCACCTTTAGCTGCTGAATGTGTAATCAGGCGGTGCTGGACTCTTTTACAACCATCACACAAAAACAAACGCGTCTAAATTATTATTAACTCTAACAGCACATTTAAAATCAGAAGGTCATGTGCAGATGTGGTTACTGGAGACACACACACACACACACACACACACACACACACACACACACACACACACACACACACACACACACACACACACACACACACACACACACACACACACACCTCAAGTTCTGGGTTTGTGGGAGGAAACCAGGCAGTGGGGAGAACGTCCTTCAGACTGTTGGATAAAATAAGACTAAATAACAGAAACGGATTTCCGTTCTGCATTAGTATTCTTTAATTTTCGGCCTTAGATTTGAGAGATGTGACGGAGATGGGGAAAGTTTGGACTGCAGCTGGAAAATGGCTGACGATGACGGAACAGCTTGGTGGAAATGAAGGGAAAGTACTTAGCAAAGAAAAGATGAAAAGAAATTAAGAAAGAAGCAGCAGCAGGGAGGGCAGAGAGACAGGAAGATAAAAGATCATGAATACGGAACGGGTGAAGGAGGATGTGCAGGAGAGACGAGTGCCTGGAGATTTTAGAAGAGCGGGACAGAGGGAACAGCTCGGTGTGGTAATGCACCACTCTGCTGCAGCATCCATCCGTAGACAGACAGCTGACTGTCTGACTATCTGTCTGCTGGCTGTCTGTCTTCTCACTGTCTGTCTCTCTGCTGACTGACTGATTGCCTGTCTGCTGACTGTCTTCTTGCTGACTGACTGTCTAGCTGTTGACTGTCTGCTAACTGTCCGTATATCTGCTAACTGACAGTCTGTCTGCTTGCTGACTGTCTGTCTGCTAACTGACTGACTAGAAGCAGCAGTGTCCCCACAGCTTAAGGCTGATTCATGCTTCTCTGTCTGCGTCAGTGCGGAGACACGCAACGCCATTATCCGTCCTTGCGTAGGGCCCCAGCAGGCATGCAAGTACATACGGAGTTGAGCCCACTTTTTAAACATCCGTCGAATGAGACAGAGAACACAAGCTTGTTATTGGTCAGGGCACTGCTGCCGACTCCACCGCTGCCATTGCGCCATCAAAAACATAAAGAGAGCCAAGAATAACTAGCGGCAGACACGGAGCAGCTTGAAGAATACCTCGCGAAAAAACTCTAAAATATGAACGTTTAATTCCCCGTGATTGGATGCGTGAAAAGAGGCGCAGCAAGTGTTTTATTTGTGGACGGAAATGACAGGAAACGTGGGTTTAGAGGTGGTGAGCGCATGAAGAGGTGGAGGAGAATGAGAGACAAATTTGTCTGTGTTAAAAAGTCTCTTATATACAAAAAAACACAACATAAACATACTATCTTGGACCGGATACATGACAGGATACCTCAGAACAGCGCTACGCCCTCTGTTGGCCTGGTGGGGAATTGCTTTGCAACACTCCTCATGAGACGGAGAAGTATGAGAGCAAAATGCTTCCGTCAATCCGTGCGTGTCTCTCCCTTGTGGAGCTAATGGAGAAGCATAAATCAGGCTTTAGCCTTTCTCCCCAACTCTCTCCCCAGTCTTCCTCCCCCCCCTCCACCCCTGTTCTCTTACGGTAATGCAGTGCTGTTTTTTCCACGGTTCTCAGTTACCTTTGACGTGACTTTTACTGTATAAAATGTTGCTGCTGGGTTAGGGCTAGATTTGCTGCTGCTGATTTAAATTTTAGACCACAGCACACTTTCCTGCTGAAAGCCTCGACCTGCAAAAGGATCAAAGACCAGAAACCTTGAGTTTATGTCCCCTTTCCCTCTACTGACTCTCGACTAACTTTGTCAGAGTTTCACGCTAACAAAGTTGCCTTTATCAACTTTAAGTCAGGAGTTGCACCGACAAGACAAGATAAAAACACATTTAATCGCTGCTGAAAGTAAGCACAGTGCTCGGAGCGACAGATAGCCCATAAAACACTCCCCCCACTGCTTCACCATCATTATCCCTCAGAATGAAGCCAAAGATAAACCAAGCTGAGATACGTCTGCAGACCTAAAGGCTGATAAAGCGGCTGTACCGTGTCCTCCTTCCCTCAGTAGGTCAGACATGATTATCCTCACAAGGAAGGAACCTCTTGGATGTTGCTGGGACAGGACCGGGGCCTCGGCTTTGCAGACCTGAAGCGTTGGTTGGCTCTGCTGCTGCAATGCACCACTATGTTGTCATCTCTGCTGCCTCTCTCTCTCTCTCTCTCTCTCTCTCTCTCTCTCTCTCTCTCTCTCTCTCTCTCTCTCTCTCTCTCTCCCCCTCTCTCTCTCTCTCTCCCTCCCCCTCTCTCTCTCCCGCCCTCAGCTCGTCTCTCACCCTTATCTCACCTCACATAACACTCCAGCAGAGCTTTATTTTCCTTGCTTGAGGGGAGTCAGACGAGGGGAAGGCTTTTACATTAACCGCAACCAGAACCTGTTGTGGAGTTTCGTCTAAATAGGAGAGTTACGCATGTATGGAGGATGTGAAGCCTGTAGAGATAAGCCGGGTTAAATTGTGCATACAAGCTGTAAGCTGGCTCTCGTCTGGGAGTTAATGCACTTTTCTCCTCCTCTTCCTCTTTGGGCATTTTCTCCTTGTAGTCTGACATGTAAAATCAATGGACCTCAATCTCTTACGCATCCTTCTCCTTATGTGGGAGTTGGTTAACTACAGTGCACTTACTCACCGACAGTGACTGTGTTTAATTTTGATCCCAGAGAGCAGCACACATAGTGGTACTGATGCTGACAAACATGTTGCCTCTCTGAGGTGAAACTGTCACTGCGGCGTCTACTAGACGTCATATTTGATGGAGAGTCTGCCTTTTGTCATCTGCCTCGGTCACTAGAGATGACTTTGGGTCAGTCGGCGTCTGATTAGGCGTCTGTGAGGTGGTGAAAACTTGGATTATTCTGAAGGACACAAAAGCGACGCAGCAAAAGTAGCATAAATGTCCATTTTAACCTTTAGGCCTGACAACATCTTTCATGCAGGAGTCTTAACCCTAAAAATCAGCTCATTTAAAACTGGTCCACTCAACATTATTTCATTTAAACTTCTTCTTGTTCTTCTATTTAAAATCCCAGTAAGAAAAACCTGACATTTTATTTAATTTTAACATAAAACTAAACGTAAATAATGCAGTTTAAAGTAAATAATCCTTTCCTTGCTTTTATATATTGACAGTTTTACCATTTCAGCTCTTGGATCACACGAGGACTCTAGGGTTACTGCAGCCAAAAATAACTTTTACACTCTAAAGCGGAATAAAGTAATCGTTATTCATTCTGAGCACACGTTTCAATTCATGAAACCGGCTTTTTAAACAGGAAATCAGGTTTTGGTTCTTGCCAGCTTTGCTGCATTGGAATAAAACATACCTGAGCTGGAGTTGAGCAGAAGAGCGCCCTGAGAGTGAGTGAATGTCTCGCCGTGCTGTCGGAGGGAGGAGAGAGGGATGAAGCTCAGCTGATATTGGTTCATCAATACTGGGGAGCATCAGCATCGAAAGCTCTAAATAATTAGAATCAATAGATATTGAAGAGACGTTTTCCTGGTGGTGTTGACACGGCGTCTTTACAAATGAGCACAACAATGCAGATGCTTCATGGT